GGAAGCTACCTGATCTATCACTCCATATGAAGCTCCAAGTTTTCCCGGCCACAGTCATGCCCTCCCTTCTCTACGCTTATGAAACTTGGAGTCCTGTTAACGGACGACTTGAAACATTCAGGCTGGCTTGCCTACGATCCATCATGTATTCTTAGGTTTTTTCGGTAAAGTCACGTAGGTAAACAACATTAAAAAGTAAAATAAAATAAAAATCACGACGTTTCGGAGGCAACACAAGCTTCCGTCTTCAGGTGGTACTGAAGACGGAAGCTTGTGTTGCCTCCGAAACGTCGTGACTTTTATTTTATTTTACTTTTTAATGTTTTTTTACCTACGTGACTTTACCGGAAAAAACCTAAGAATATGAATCATTGCAGTCACGAAAGCTTCAAATCTAGGATCCATCCTGTGTTTAACCAGAATGGATTTTGTGAGGAGCTCACAGATTCCCTGAAAGATTTGGACACAGTCCCATCAGTGAGCTCTGCCGGCAAGCGAGGCTGTGTTGGCTGGGTCATGTAGCCCACATTCCCTGCCCACCGCATGTCCAAGCAGCTTCTGTTTGGCCAGATTAAACTAACCATGGAACTATTTTTCGATTTAAAGCTTCGTGACTGCATGGATTCATCTTCTTGGTTCTTTCGGTAAAGTCACGTAGAAGGGAAATAATAAAATAATAAAAATAAAACATAATAATTCTCACGATGTTTCGGCCACAACGCAAGCAGCCGTCCTCAGGTGAAGAACAGGTCTGTCAGAAAGACAGCGTCTGACAGACCTGTTCTTCACCTGAGGACGGCTGCTGCGTTGTGGCCGAAACGTCGTGAGAATTATTATGTTTTATTTTTATTATTTTATCATTACATTCTATGGAACTATTTTTATTTAGCAGGTAAGGCCGACTGAGCTGTATAGCTAATCGGTACATGTTATGGTGCCATTGACAAGAGAGGATATGGAACAGTGCGGTATCTTACACAGAATCATTAATCTCCATCGGCCATGCGTCTGGCTCTAATCAGCCACAACAACAACACGTGACCACCTCGTGCTGTTAGCGAGCGCCTATTAAGGCTGGCACTGTGGCACACGAGGGGGTGGGTGGCCAGCACCACGCCCGGCCGCCTTTGTCTCCCCAGTGGCGATGTTTACTACACACCGCACCACAAGTACTCGTTTGAGGCTGAGTCGACCTAGGGGAGGCCCAGCACCGGTTCAGATAATTGTCACTGTGGTGTTGGCCGTGGCTGTGAGCGGGGAACGTAAGGTTAAACGATTTTAGTTTTGTCTATCCATAATCTATCTAAACTATCCATAATACAGGATAAATAAAAACCTCTATTATGGATAGTTTAGCTTTATTTTTTATACTATATATATTTTTTTAATGGTTTCTTTGCCTTTCCTATACTTTGCACTCATATCGTGCTTTTGTCCTGCTGTTGTAACGTTCTGACCCCGCGTGCCCCCTTTACTGGACATCCGTGAAAAAAAAATAGCTTATCCAATTTCTCGAGTGAACTCAGGTGACCGGGTTTTGCAGCGCGCTAACCGCTGCGCCACCGCTCCCCACGGGACCTCCCCCACCCTGTGATGATGTCACTCCAACAACGCCCCGCCCCCCCCGCCCCGTCTCCATAACAACCGTCGACGTGCCAAGCAACACGCGCTCCGATTGGTCGAGCGCGTCGCTGGCGTTCGACCAATGGGATCGAGCGACGTTGCGCGCCTACGAACGGAGTGCAAAGATGGCGGCGCCCTGTTGTCGTCTTTGGCCGTGGCTTCGCTGGAGGTATTTGCGATCGATTCGCCTCGTAAAACGCCTCAGTTCGCACTCGTTTGCAAGTAACAACGTTTGCAATCGCTCGCTGTCGAACGGCCCCGCTCGTGGCTCCGTTCGCCGGCCGTAAAATGCATTTTGTTGCGTTTAGGCCGCGAAGCCTCCGCTCTTGCCTAGGTCGGGTACCGGCAGAGGTCGTCGATTTCCGGGCAGGGTCGGTGAGGGTCTCGCAGCCCAACTACGGGATGGGGTTTTCAAAGAACGCCGGAGTTTTGCATTCTATAAACACTCGGCATGGCACGTCGTGCACAATGCGTCGTATACAATGTTCTACGTGAAGCACCGATGCACTTAAACCGTTTGTGGAACCCTCACTTTGGGTGTGATGCGAGCGTGGGTTGTTGTTGTGATGAGCGCACAGCGGATCTGCAATGCAGAGGTCGTCCCTTTGAAGTCGCCCTTTGAAGTCGTCCTTTGAAGTCGTTCTTTCTGAGCGACAGTTGAAACATTGAACACGTTAACTGCATTCGATTCGGGTTGACACGTAGGGCTTTCACGACCAATGTTATTCATAGTAAAGTTTTTTGGGGTGGGGGTTTGAAAACGTTTTGGTTTAGCCATGTTTGTTTTTTGTAGTACAGAGTTAGCCTGATAACTTTAATCTACATTGTCTTATGGTTGTTATTGTTTGAATTGCATCCCACTGGGATGTTTTGCACACAGCGTTGAAATACGGTGTTTTTTTCTGGAAGACTTTGCTGTTTATCCCAGGATTTTTCTGTTGCGTTTAGTCACTTTAAGATGTTTCTTGTCCATGTTTTTGTTGCGGTTGCACCCGAGTCAAGAGCCGCATGGCTCACAGGGTTATACATATCTTCTTGGTTCTTTCGGTAAAGTCATCACGTAGAAGGGAAGTAATAAAATAATAAAAATAAAACATAATAAAATAATTCTCACGACGTTTCGGCCACAACGCAAGCAGCCGTCCTCAGGTGAAACCAGGTCTGTCGTCTCGACAGACTTCCCTTCTACGTGACTTTACCGAAAGAACCAATAAGATGAATCCCTGCAGTCACGAAAGCTTTAAATCGAAATTTTAGGGTTATAACTAATAAATGAAACTGAAAACTAAAAAGTAGAAATGTGCCGTAATCCGCCACCACCCGACACGGTCGGTAAGGTTTGTCACGTAAACGAAACGTGCCCAATATCACTGCTTCAGCCCAAGGTGTGTTGGAGAGTGAATCCAAAACATTCACAATTGAGTACTTTGACGTTTCGCTGGTAATTACATCCAGCATCATCGGGCGATTTGCCAGAATAGTGAAGCGAGCCAGGTAGACTGCTTGTCTACCTGGCACGGTTGGCTACGTACAGTGCAAAGGAAGCTCAACATACATGCATGCGTAGAGCAGTGGTGGTTTGCATAGCTCCAGTGCCTTCCTAATATCGGAGGGGGTAGAGCGTTCCAGACGGCTGCAGAAGCGCATCCAAAAATGCCGCGCGATGCAGTGACCACCGTCTTTGTCCGATGGCTTAGCCAAAAGCCGCCGTTGCGAGGATGACTGGAGTTGGCGTGATGCTTTATGCTCCTCAACAACATCAGCAAGATATTGTGGTTCATTTGTGGTCAGCAATTTGTGTGTAACGAGCGCGACCTTATAACGTGTTCGTTCGGCAACAGGACGCCAATGAGCTCGGCGGGCACTGGACGGAGACGGTCAGATCTTGCAGTCCCCGTCGCGAAATGTGCTAGTACGTGCAAGTTCAAGTTCATGTATTAGGTATAGCCCTGTGAGCCATTCGGCTCTTGAATCGGGTGCACCCGCACCTGCAACAAACAAAAAACATCTTAAAGTGAATATGTGAATAAGTGCAAACAGAAAATCCAAGAAAAGACAGCAAAATATTGCGGGAAAAAATCACCGTACACCAACGCTGTGTGCAAAAATCCCAGTGGGATGCACGTAGTACGTGTTTGCCATGTGGGCGTCACTTGACACCCTGGGAAACCCCTTGCAAACGAGTTGTTGCACCTGCAAGGAATTGTCCAGGTTAAATAGTTTCATACGTAAAATAAAAACTGAAAGCACCACGACCTGCGTGGATGAAAAAGTTCATTCGTCCGAGTACACCCAACACCAATGTGGTATTTACTGAATACTTCTTACTCTTAGGTTTTTTCGGTAAAGTCACGTAGGTAAAAAATTAAATTAAAAGTTAATAAAAGTAATAATTGAAATAAAATAATAAATCACGACGTTTCGGAGGCAACACAAGTCTCCATCATCAGGTGGGACCGAGCTAAAATTACTGTATCAAGTGAGGAAAATTCCAAAAGACCAGCCCTTAAATACAAGTTAAGGGGGGAGGGGCTTATCTGAATGTGGTAACCAGGGAATGGAACGTGGGGGTGGTGGGCGAGGCTGCAAGAGAAATTGGTCAACGTCAACATGTGCAAGAAAACAATCGGTGTACCTCGACCTAAACCGATGTTGGTTGAGAATCCAAATACAAGAAAGCAGTGCTGTTAAACGATGGGGATGTCAACACTTGGTAAAGTAGAAAAGTACCTGTCAAATAAGATGGTACAAATATGTGTAGTTAAATCTTTTTTACGTGGTTTAATAACATCTTTCCAATGATTACTCAGTTTGTACCCATCATCACGGTAGAAGTTATTTTATTTTATTTCCATTATTGCTTTTATTAACTTTTAATTGTATTTTTTACCTACGTGACTTTACCGAAAAAACCTAAGAGTATGAATCCTTGCAGTCACGAAAGCTTCAAATCTAGAATTGAATACTTCTTTCTTATCGAGAAGGCTGGACAAGCTTCTTATCTCTGACCTACAACCCTGGGTATGATCTTCCAAAAAGCTCATGGTCCACCCAAAACGGAATCCGCACAAACCATGGCAGATGCTGATACCTGATGCACAAGTGGAACATTTAAAACTCTCCAGTGTGCGACTGGTCATCCAGAACAGACTGTACAACGTATAGCGACGCAATAGCCGATCCACAAATAGGAAGGAAACATGACAGTGATGATATACTCCGCTGTTCCTGATGCAGCTGTCTGGCTTGGCCACCTCAATGTGAAATTGTAGTTGTTGCTCTGCATCTACATCAGCCAATACGAAAGACGAAACCGATTGGAAGGATACTATGCCGGAAAATAAATAAAAAAAACCTTCAAAACTGTGCAACGTTATCGCACTTCGCTTCGACAAGCTTCAAAACCTCGCCGGTACCAGATCTCTGTACCAATCAACTCCTGCCACCTGTACACAGATGCCCATTCCCCGGACTGTCTGTGGCAAACCCCAGACAGGTGGTGACCCTCTCATTAAATTTCGATTTAAAGCTTTCGTGATTGCAGGGATTCGTCTTCTTGGTTCTTTCGGTAAAGTTACGTAGAAGGGAAGTAATGTTTTATTATTTTATTACTTCCCTTCTACGTGACTTTACCGAAAGAACCAAGAAGACCCTCTCATTGTTTTGACGTCCAGTCAGTCGCAACGTTTACGTGATTAAGTTCTACCAAGTATGCCCCAGTGAGGGCTATTTCAGATCGGGAGAGACCAGAGACGTGTGGTATTGAATGTGATCTATATACAACCTGTGATAACTGACACGAATACAAACAACACCATTGGCTTAATGGTAACCGCAATGGGGTGTGCCATCTGCTGGACATATCTGGGCATTGCAGTTCGTATCACGTCCACTTACACTGGTCAACACACTTTTTCTGGCATAAGGTATTCCAACGGGTTTAAGGTAATTTTGGGGTGCTTCCAAATCTGGCATCAGTTTTTGTCTATCACATCAGGTTTTTGAGATATCAAATATTGCATTTTCAATAAAAACTGCAGAAGAAAAATATTAAATAAATGTGGATATCTACATAAAATTATATTATAAACACACTTTTCTAAAAATACAGCACCATATTTTAACACTAAAGCAGTCACTGATTTGCAACAACTTGCAATCATAAGTGACAGAGTTAATTTTGGGTAAAATCAATGAAAATGGGGTATGCCGATAGCATAAAGTGAGATGTGATAGAGCAAATCTGAGATCAGATTTGGAATCGGCACCCTGAAATTAGTCTAGAACAGCTGCAAAAGTCCAGGCTAGAAAAAAATGTTTTTTTTTTTTTGTTGACCAGTGTTATCAACAATCCAACTCTGCACGTTCAGTGTCATTAAACTCTTTCCCATTCCGAGACATCTTCAAGTTGCAGGGTCGGTGTCCCGTTCACCGCTGTATCTCGCAAGACGCAAGCGGCTCAGGGTTAGTTTTATTTAGAGAGGCGTGGCGCCGTTATTTTTAAAGACATTGTTACTCGCCGCAGAGAACTTGAGCGGCACGACCGCACTCTGATATATTAGGCTACGCACTCTATGATAGCTGGTGCCAAACTATGCCACGCGGTTTAACACGTAGGCTTTCGCGACCAATATTATTCATAATAAAGGTTTTTGGGTTAGATTGCGTTATTTATAAATGTGTCGTAACCGTCCACCACCTGCCACAGCCAGTAAGGGTTGTCACGGAAACAACGCGCCAATTCGTCACTACTTCAGCCCACCGATGTGTTGGAGAGCAAATCGACAACATTTACAATTTCACTACGACGTTTTGCTGGTAATTACATCCAGCATCATCGGGCGATTTGACAACATGTGAAGAAATCCACCTGCCACATGGCCTTTTATGTCCGATTCCACTCCATATGTACACTTACGTGATCGGAACGGAATCGGAATAAAAACTGATGATGTATGTCATCAGAACGGGAAAGCGTTAACAACACTAGCCATCGACAAAGACTGTGGTCACCGCATCGTGCACTTTCAGATGCGCATCTGCGGCCGTCTGGAATGCTTTTCCCTCCGATATTAGGAAGCCACTGGTAGCTATGCATTTTTAAATCATCTACATTCAAAACTAATTAATTTTTATCTCCTTTTGTGTGTTTAGTTCATTATCCTTCCCCCACACCTCCGAAAGAAGTCCGACATTCATACAACACCACTCTGTGCGTGCGCGCTTGTAGCCTGAAAAGGAAAAATATGCAATAGGTGACATTTCGAGCAATGGCCCTCCTTCACAGCACGTGTCGCAGAGCCATTATGTAGGCCCTGCCGCTCGCCAACAGCACTTGCCCCCGCGGCCCGTTAACAGCCACGCGGGGGAACCTTTGTCTTTGGCGTGTGACGTCGCGGGCGCAGGCCGAGTGGGGGGCTGCTGGTCAGGGCGGGGGCCCCGGCTCCCCCCGCCCGGCGCCTGGTGCACGGGGACGGGCGCAACGTGCCCCGCCGGGCGGTGCTCTACGTGCCGGGAGACGATGAGAGGAAGCTGCGCAAGCTGCCAACGCTCGGCGCCGACTGCGCCGTCATGGACTGCGAGGACGGAGTGGCGCAGAACAGAAAGGTGACGGCCGCGGTGGTGGTGTGGCGGCGATGGTGGTGGTCGTGGTGGTGGCGATGGTGGCGGTGGTGGCGGCGGCGATGGCGATGGTGGCGGTGGTGGTGGTGGTGATGGTGATGGTGGCGGTGGGGGCGATGATGGCGATGGCAGTGTTGGTGGTGGCGATGTTGATGGTGGTGCCGATGGTGATGGTGGCGATGGTGGCCACTGTAATGTGGGAAGTGGCGGCGCAGTGGTTAGTGCGCTCCGCTACGATCCTGACGACCCGAGTTGGATTCCAGCTCACGGTCAATAGCAGTGGCGAATGTCGCTACTCTCTCACTGGCCATATAACTGACCAATATCATCCATAATAGAGGTTTTTTTGGGGTTAGATCACATAAATAACGCGATCTAACCCTAAAAACCTCTTATGGATAACCACCATCGCCAACCACCATAATCGCCTTCACACCAGCAACATCCGCCGCTCACCACTAAGTCTCTCTTATCTTTATTTCATACATGCCAATATCGCCCCCAGTAAAGTAGGCATCGGTGCACATTACAGCGGAACGGGACCAGTGCAGGGGGCACAGAGCAGCAGGAATGGCGACAGAGACCCGTCACGACCACAGCGGCAAACGCCGACTGAGCAGAGTCTATTGCCAACCGCGCGCCGAAATGAAGTGCAGACCGTGCGCAACGAGTAGCCTCCGAAAGGCAAGCGGTAATGTAAGTAAATTAATGAAAAGGTAAATAGAGGGTTTTCATTTTACATTTTAGAAGCGCTGGCAGGGCGAGGTCTTGAGTTTAGGTGCGTCTTGCACGGACCACGGAAATCGAAGAGACGTGCATCACGTTTCGGATGTCCGGGAGCAGGAAGGCTTCGTTCCCCCCCCCCCCCCCCAGCGTCGGCTGAACAATCCTGGGCGCCGACGTCACCACGACGCCTGTGCTAGGCTAGGTGCACCTTGACGCTGTCGCGTGAAAGTGTCGGATGGCTCGCCGCTGGCCGGAGGTCACGGGACAGACCCGGGTGGTGCCATGGGTTGACTGGACTGAGATGACAGATGCACCTGTGCCCCCCCCCCCTACTGTTTCAACACCACCACCATCACCAAAGACAAAGGTCCCCTGTATAGCCTTAACAGACCGTTGGGGCAAGTGTTGTTAGCGAGTAGCAGCACCTATGAAGATCTGCATGGCACACGAGGGGGTGGGTGGCCAGCACCATGCCCGGCTGCCGCTTTTGTCTCCCGAGTGGCGATGTTTACACATCGCTCCAGGTACTCATTTGAGGCTGAATCGACCTAGGGGAGGCCCAGAACCGGTTTAAATAATCGTCACCAGTGTTCGTGGCCATGAGCGGGAATCGAACTGTGGTAACTGGGTTCATCACGCAGCGCTCTAACCGCTGCAACCACCGCTCCCCATCATCGTTAACATCATCACCAGCATCAACATCACCACCACCATCGCCACTATCATTAACATCACCGCCATCATTAACATCGTCACCACCACCACCATCGTTGACATCATCACCAGCATCAACATCACCACCACCATCGCCACTATCATTAACATCACTGCCATCATTAACACCACCACCACCACCATCATTAACATCATCACCACCACCACCATCAATAACATCATCACCAGCATCAACATCACCACCACCATCGCCACTATCATTAACACCACCGCCATCATTAACATCGTCACCACCACCATCAGTAACATCACTATCACCAGCATCAACATCATCACCAGCATCAACATCACCACCACCATCGCCACTATCATTAACACCACCGCCATCATTAACATCATCACCACCACCACCACCATCGTTGACATCATCACCAGCATCAACATCGCCACCACCATCGCCACTATCATTAACATCACCGCCGTCATTAACATCATCACCACCACCACCATCAGTAACATCACTATCACCAGCATCAACATCACCACCACCATCGCCACTATCATTAACATCACCGCCATCATTAACATCACCACCACCGCCATCGTTAACATCGTCACCAGCATCAACATCACCACCACCATCGCCACTATCATTAACATCATCGCCATCATTAACATCGTCACCACCACCATCAGTAACATCACTATCACCACCACCGCCACCGTGTCCGCGTGTAGGACGTGGCGCGTGACACGGTTGTGCGCATGCTCAGCGAGCTGAGCCTGGGCCGCACCGAGCCCAGCGTCCGCATCAACGCCGTCGCCAGCGGCCTCGCCGATGACGACCTCCGCGCCTTGCTGGGGGGGCCGGTGCTGCCCCCCACCATCCTCCTGCCCAAGGTGGACTCGGTGGACGACATCCGATGGGTGAGTCGGTAGCAATTAGCATTTTTTTTTTATTCATAATCAACGTTTTTGGGTGTTAGATCGCGTTATTTATAAATGTGTCGTAACCCTCCACCACCCGACACGGCCAATCAGTAAAAAAGTGTCACGTTGACAAAAGACAAAATAGTTCACTGCTTTAGCCCCCACCGGTGTGTGTGTTGAAGCGTCAAACCACAACATTCACAATTTCACGCATCAACACACCGGTGGGCTAAAGCAGTGAACTATTTGTCTTTGTCAACGTGACACTTTTTACTGATTGGCCGTGTCGGGTGGTGGAGGGTTACGACACATTTATAAATCACGCGATCTAAACCCAAAAACGTTGATTATGAATAATATTGGTCGCGAAAGCCTGCTACGTGTTAAATTTTATTTTGTTGTTAAGAAGCGAGGTCAACTGCGAGCTTGGTCATCATCACCACAGCGTCCGGGGTCGATAAAATGAGCAGCGTCATGCGGAGAAGATCGAACACCATTGGAACCTCATTTGCCAGTAAAAAATATGATAATTGTTTTTTTTACCCTTCTATCTGGCAACAAAACTGACACACTTTTTTTTACAAGGAGTCATGTTTACATAGACCACAATACCTGCAGTCTTAATGCAAACAAAAAACACAACTCTGATAATGTATGCACTGTCCTTTAAGTTGATTGGTCCGCTTGTTGGCGTCATCTGGTCCAACCCATGTGAGACTAGGCTCTAAGGAAAGCTGTCTCGGGTGTGGACCAATCAACTTCAAGGACAGTGCACATTATCAGAGTTATGTCTTTTGTTTGCATTATGACTGCAGGTATTGTGGTCTATGTAAACATGACTCCTTGTAAAAAAAGGTGTCCGTTTTGTTGCCAGATAGAAGGGTAAAAAACCAATTATCAAGATCGAACACCGTTTGTTTGTTTGGATATACTCGCTGCCGCCATAGGAACGTGGAATTCCCGCCACGAGTGTCTCCACACGACGGCTGTGAGCAGGAGGGGCGAGCACGGGGCGCGTGCCTCCATTCTGGCACGAGCAGCAAGTCGCTTTGACCCGTCGACGAGTTTAAGAGTGCCGTTTGTTACCGGCCGTTCGGCGTTTCCGGGACCTCGGGCCGTGCTGAAATGACAAAAAAAAAAATCATGATTTGAAGCTTTCGTGACTGCAAGGATTCATACACCTTAGTTCTTTCGGTAAAGTCACGTAGGTACAAAATGAAATTTACCGAAAGACAAAAAAAAAATTGTCATTTTTTTTATTAATTGTTTTACTCTGCCATAGTAACATGGAGTGGCGCCCTTGTCCCCACCTCCCTCCCCAGTTTGCCGAGCACTTTGAGAAGGCAGTGGCGGAACGAGAGCTGCCCGCACCGATTAACCTCATCACGTTCGTGGAGAGCGCCGTGGGACTGCTTGACCTCAGGGTGAGCATCGTCAACGTACTTCACCGCGCCGGTCGTTCCGCACCCGGCGGACGGGGGAAGACTCCAAGCGCCGGGTCCGGGTGTCGCTCGCCACTGATGTTGGCCGTGAGCGGGAGTGTCTCCTGCCGGGTCTAGCGGTGCGGTTGCGCTAACCGCGGCGCCACCGCTCCCCCCCCCCCACCCATTCACCAGCCCCCGTTCATCATCAGCAACGTCGATGTGATGGTCATCAATGACGTAGTCACCGCCGGCATCATCGTCGTCATCACTGTCATCGTCATCATCACCGTCATCATCACCGTCATCATCACCACCAACACCATCACTGTCATCATCACTTTCATCATTAATAATCATCACCACCACCACCACCATCATCACTATCATCATCATCACTGTCATCATCACTATCACCATCATCACTATCATCATCATCATCATCGTCATCATCACTTTCATCGTCAATCATCATCACCACCTCCATCATCGTTATCACCACCACCACCACCGTCATCACCGTCATCATCATCATCATCACCGTCATCATTACCACTTTCATCGTCAATTATCACCACCATCACCATCATCACTTTCCTCGTCAATCATCATCACCACCTCCATCATCGTTATCATCACCACCACCGTCATCACCGTCATCATCATCACCACCACCATCATCATCATCACCTTCATCATCATCACTTTCATCATTAATAATCGCCATGATCAATGTCGTCATCACATTCATCATCACGTTAATCATCGTTACCACTGTTATCGTCGCTGTCATCACTTTCATCAACATTGATCATCATCATCATCACTGTCATCATCACTGTCATCACGATTTCCATCGCTACCACTTGTCGTCACTGTCATCATCATCGTCATGGTCACCACTGCCATTACCAGAGAGATGAAAGGAGATGCAAGGGGACACTTCTCTCTTGTCCGCTGCCCTGACCCATCATGTTTGTGTCTTACGCATGTCTCCGTGTCTCCTCCCGTGTCTCCCCGCGTTTCCCCACGTCTCCCCCGTGTCTCCCCGTGTCTCCTTTTCTTCACTCATGTCTCCGTGTCTCCTTCCGTGTCTTCCCCTATGTCTCCCCGCGTCTCCCCGCGTCTCCCCGTGTCTCCCCGCGTCTCCCCGCATCTCCCCGCGTCTCCCCGCGTCTCCCCGTGTCTCCCCGCGTCTCCCCGCGTCTCCCCGTGTCTCCCCGCGTCTCCCCGCATCTCCCCGCGTCTCCCCGCGTCTCCCCGCGTCTCCCCGCGTCTCCCCGTGTCTCCCCGTGTCTCCCCGTGTCTCCCCGCGTCTCCTTTTCTTCACTCATGTCTCCGTGTCTCCTTCCGTGTCTTTCCCTATGTCTCCCCGTGTCTCCCCGTGTCTCCCCGCGTCTCCCCGTGTCTCCCCGTGTCTCCCCGTGTCTCCCCGCGTCTCCCCGTGTCTCCCCGTGTCTCCCCGTGTCTCCCCGCGTCTCCCCGCGTCTCCCCGCGTCTCCCCGCGTCTCCCCGTGTCTCCCCGTGTCTCCCCGCGTCTCACCGCGTCTCCCCGTGTCTCCTACCGTGTCTTCCCCGCATCTCCCCACATCTCCCGCGTGTCTCCCCGTGTCTCCCCGTGTCTCCCCGTGTCTCCCCGTGTCTCCCCGCGTCTCCCCGCGTCTCCCCGTGTCTCCCCGCGTCTCCCCGTGTCTCCCCGCGTCTCCCCGCGTCTCCCCGTGTCTCCCCGCGTCTCCCCGCGTCTCCCCGTGTCTCCCCGTGTCTCCCCGCGTCTCCCCGCGTCTCCCCGCGTCTCCCCGCGTCTCCCCGTGTCTCCCCGTGTCTCCCCGTGTCTCCCCGCATCTCCCCGCGTCTCCCCGTGTCTCCCCGTGTCCCCTTTTCTTCACTCATGTCTCCGTGTCTCCTTCCGTGTCTTTCCCTATGTCTCCCCGCGTCTCCCCGCGTCTCCCCGTGTCTCCCCGCGTCTCCCCGTGTCTCCCCGTTCTCCCCATGTCTCCCCGTGTCTCCCCGCGTCTCCTCGCGTCTCGCCACGTCTCCCCGTGTCTCCTCGTGTCCCCTTTTCTTCACTCATGTCTCCGTGTCTCCTTCCGTGTCTTTCCCTCTGTCTCCCCGTGTCTCCCCGCGTCTCCCCACATCACGCCACATCTCCCCGCGTCTCCCCGCGTCTCGCCACATCTCCCCGTGTCTCCCCGTGTCCCCTTTTCTTCACTCATGTCTCCGCGTCTCCCCGTGTCTTCCCGTGTCTTCCCGTGTCTCCCCGCGTCTCCCCGCGTCTCCCCGTGTCCCCTTTTCTTCGCTCATGTCTCCGCGTCTTCCCCGTGTCTCGCCATGTCCGCTGCAGGAGATCTGCTGTGCGGCGATCTCCGTGGGGGAGCGCGTGGGACTGACTCTCGCCGGCATCGTCTTCGGATCCGACGACTTCTGTGCCAGCATCGGTGCGTGCCGTTCATCGCCCCGTGCCTCTCTACGCATCTCTGTTCACCTCCACCCTTCGCCAATCTCCTCCAAGTGTCTCCCCTCTCCCCCACGTCTCTCCTCTCCTCCCCGTGTCTCCCCATGTCTCTCCTCCCCTTGTCTCCCCTCTCCCCACGTCTCTCCCCGTGTCTCTCCCCCACGTCTCTCCCCATGTCTCTCCCCTCTCTCCCCGTGTCTCTCCCCCACGTCTCTCCCCATGTCTCTCCCCTCTCTCCCCATGTGTCTCCCACACGTCTCTCCCCATGTCTCTCCTCTCCTCCCTGTGTCTCCCCTCTCCCCATGTCTCCCCTCCCCTCCGCATGCATCCCCTCTCCTCCACGTCTCTCCCCATGTCTCTCTTCCTCCCTGTCTCCCCTCTCTCCCCACGTCTCTCCTCCCCGTGTCTCCCTCTTTTCATCATACCTCCCCTCTCCTCCACGTGTCTCCCCACGTCTCCATCTCCTCCGTCTCATCCCCACGCCTCCCCCCCCCCCGCCCCGTGCAGGGGCGACGCGCACGTCCGACGCGCGTGAGCTGCTGTACGCGCGCCAGCACGTGGTGGTGGTGGCGCGGGCGCTGGGCCTGCAGGCCGTAGACATGGTGCACATCGACTTCCGCGACCCCGAGGGGCTGGCGCGGCACGCACGCGACGGCGCCCTCATGGGCTTCACCGGTACGAGGCGGGGGGGGGGGGGGCGGGGGGGGTGGAACAGAGGCCCAGACGTGGTCTAACGGGGTTTAACGTGGTCTAACGGGGTCCTAACGGGGTCCAGACGTGGTCTAACGGGGTCTAACGGGGTCTAACGGGGTCCAGACGTGGTCTAACGGGGTCCAAACGTGGTCTAACGGGGTCCTAACGGGGTCTAACGGGGTCTAATGGGGTCTAACGGGGTCTAACGTGGTCTAACGGGGTCTAACGTGGTCTAACGTGGTCTAACGGGGTCTAACGGGGTCTAACGTGGTCTAACGGGGTCTAACGGGGTCTAACGGGGTCTAACGGGGTCTAACGGGGTCTAACGGGGTCTAACGGGGTCTAACGTGGTCTAACGTGGTCTAACGGGGTCTAACGTGGTCTAACGGGGTCTAACGGGGTCTAACGGGGTCTAACGTGGTCTAACGGGGTCTAACGTGGTCTAACGGGGTCTAACGGGGTCTAACGGGTCTAACGGGTCTAACGTGGTCTAACGGGTCTAACGGGGTCTAACGGGTCTAACGGGGTCTAACGGGTCTAACGGGGTCTAACGGGGTCTAACGGGGTCTAACGTGGTCTAACGGGGTCTAACGGGGTCTAACGGGGTCTAACGGGGTCTAACGTGGTCTAACGGGTCTAACGGGGTCTAACGGGTCTAACGGGGTCTAACGGGGTCTAACGGGGTCTAACGTGGTCTAACGTGGTCTAACGGGGTCTAACGGGTCTAACGGGTCTAACGTGGTCTAACGTGGTCTAACGTGGTCTAACGTGGTCTAACGGGGTCTAACGTGGTCTAACGGGGTCTAACGGGGTCTAACGGGGTCTAACGGGGTCTAACGTGGTCTAACGGGGTCTAACGTGGTCTAACGTGGTCTAACGTGGTCTAACGGGGTCTAACGTGGTCTAACGGGGTCTAACGGGGTCTAACGGGGTCTAACGGGGTCTAACGTGGTCTAACGTGGTCTAACGGGGTCTAACGTGGTCTAACGGGGTCTAACGGGGTCTAACGGGGTCTAACGGGGTCTAACGGGGTCTAACGTGGTCTAACGGGGTCTAACGTGGTCTAACGTGGTCTAACGGGGTCTAACGGGGTCTAACGGGGTCTAACGTGGTCTAACGGGGTTTAACGTGGTCTAACGTGGTCTAACGGGGTCTAACGTGGTCTAACGGGTCTAACGGGGGTCTAACGTGGTCTAACGGGGTCTAACGGGTCTAACGGGGTCTAACGGGTCTAACGTGGTCTAACGTGGTCTAACGGGGTCCAGACGTGGGTCTAAACGGGGTCCAAAACGTGGTCTAACGGGGTCCAGACGTGGTCTAACGGGGTCTAACGTGGTCCTAACGGGGTCTAACGTGGTCTAAACGTGGTCTAACCGGGGTCTAAAACGGGGTCTAACGGGGTCTAACGGGGTCTAACGGGGTCTTAACGTGGGTCTAACGGGGTCTAACGGGGTCTAACGGGGTCTAACGTGGTCTAACGGGGTCTAACGTGGTCTAACGGGGTCTAACGTGGTCTAACGGGTCTAACGGGGTCTAACGGGGTCTAACGTGGTCTAACGGGGTCTAACGGGGTCTAACGTGGGTCTAACGGGTCTAACGGGGTCTAACGTGGTCTGTCGTGGTCTGTCGTGGTCTGTCGTGGTCTAACGGGGTCTATCGGGGTCTAACGGGGTCTAACGGGGTCTAACGTGGTCTAACGGGGTTTAACGTGGTCTAACGTGGTCTAACGTGGTCTAACGTGGTCTAACGTGGTCTAACGGGGTCTAACGTGGTCTAACGGGGTCTAACGGGGTCTAACGTGGTCTAACGTGGTCTAACGTGGTCTAACGTGGTCTAACGTGGTCTAACGGGGTCTAACGGCGTCTAACGGGGTCTAACGGGGTCTAACGGGGTCTAACGTGGTCTAACGTGGTCTAACGGGGTCTAACGGGGTCGAACGGGGTCTAACGGGGTCTAACGGGGTCTAACGGGGTCTAACGGGGTCTAACGTGGTCTAACGGGGTCCAGACGTGGTCTAACGGGGTCCAAACGTGGTCTAACGGGGTCCAGACGTGGTCTAACGTGGTCCTAACGGGGTCTAACGTGGTCTAACGTGGTCTAACGGGGTCTAACGGGGTCTAACGGGGTCTAACGGGGTCTAACGTGGTCTAACGGGGTCTAACCGGGTCTAACGGGGTCTAACGTGGTCTAACGGGGTCTAACGGGGTCTAACGTGGTCTGTCGTGGTCTGTCGTGGTCTGTCGTGGTCTAACGGGGTCTATCGGGGTCTAACGGGGTCTAACGGGGTCTAACGTGGTCTAACGTGGTCTAACGGGGTCTAACGGGGTCGAACGGAGATTCCCACCGGGTCTTGTGGGGCTCACGGGCACGAGACGGAGATCAAGGAGGTCCTCACCAATACCCACCCCCTACCCGCCCCTACTCACCCCTACTCACCCCTACTCACCCCTACTCACCGATATGAAGACAAAGGCGGCCGGGCGTGGTGTTGGCCGCTCGCCATCTCGTGCGTTCCGTGACGACCTCCACAGGCGCCGCTACTCGCAGCACTCGCCCCGACAAGTCTGTTACAGGCTACGCTGGGGGGGGTGGGTGGGTGGGGTGGGTGGGGGGGGGTGGGTGGGGGGTGGGTGGGGGGTGGGTGGGGCGTGGGTGGGTGGGTGGGGGGGTGGGTGTGGGTGGGGGGTGGTGGTGGGTGGGGGGGTTGGGTGGGTGGGGGGGTTGGGTGGGTGGGGGGGTTGGGTGGGTGGGGGGGTTGGGTGGGTGGGGGGGTTGGGTGGGTGGGGGGGTTGGGGGGTGGGGGGGTTGGTGGGTGGGGGGGTGGGTGGGGGGGGGGGGTTGGGTGGGTGGGGGGGTTGGGTGGGTGGGGGGGTTGGGTGGGTGGGGGGGTTGGGTGGTGTGGGGGGTGGGTGGGTGGGGGGGTTGGGTGGGTGGGGGGGTTGGGTGGGTGGGGGGTTGGGTGGGTGGGGGGGTTGGGTGGGTGGGGGGGTTGGGTGGGTGGGGGGTTGGGTGGTGTGGGTGGGTGGGTGGGAGGGGGTGGGTGGGGTCTTTTGTCCTTGTGCAGGTGTTGAGGAGTCCCCCACGGACGCTCTCGGACACGGAGGTAAGTTTTGGGCTTCCGCCAGGGTTATTAAAGCTGTTACAATAACACACAGCAGGGTACACAACTCCCAGGGGCTAGGGTCCTACTCTGAGTTCCGGGTCCCTGCCGGCTAGCTCTGGTCTCTCTCTCTCGTGTCGGATCGTGGAGTCTGCCGACTCCACCGAGCGGAGAGAGAAGCACCTCTACGGCTACCACCGGCTTCTCCCCAGACCAGAGGTCGCAAACGGGTTTTGATTCCGTACCCGTACCCGGCCG